GTAATTTTGGGTAGAGCAGACATTTCCATATGTTTTTGTTGGGTGCATGTGCGACATAACTCCACAAGTCCTACAAATGATATCATTTACGAAGATTATACCTTTTTAAAACATTTTTCAAAGAATAATGTTTTTTTATCAATTACTATATTTGAGTTTAACAACAATATTCGTTGCATTATTTGTTCTGTAGTTTCTGGAGGATTAAATTGAAATTGCAACCAACTTTCTATGGCTTGTTTTATAAATATTTGGGAGATGATTTCCTTTTCAAATAACTGAAAGTGAGAGGTTGTAATCTGAATAAAGGGGAAAAGGCCATTCTTGAACATGGGGTGAGACAATCTTACTAATTTGCTAGAGAACCAGTTCGGATTTAAGTATAACTTTTGTATGACTGAAGGTTTTAGTGATAGGTCTAATGCTTTAATATTTAATAATTTCTGTCCTCCGAATTCATATTCATTATATAAATAGGCCCATTTAATTTTGTCTGGCTTGCCGTTCCAAATAAAATGGAATAATTTTGTCTCATATAATTTAAAAAACTGTTTGCTAGGCGTAGGCAAGACCCTAAGCAAATAGGTAAACTGGGATAATACTAACGAGTTAATCAGGGTGATTTTTCCACAAATAGACAGGTATTTTCCTTTCCATGGTAGTAAGATCAATTGGAGTGAGATCATTTATTTCATTTGGGATATGTATTCCGAGTATATCCACATCACCATCAGACCATTTTATCGGTAAACTACATGGTAATGTAAAATTTTTATTTTTTAGTGATCCAATAAGTAATATAGTACATTTATCATAATTTGGTTGTAATCCAGAGAGGCTAGAAAATTTATCTAGATCCTCTATGAGGCTGTGGAGGGATTCAAGTTGTGGATTTAAAAGAAAACAACATGAATTATCAGCGTACAATGACACCTTTGTTTTTAAGCCCTGGATTTCTAATCCCTTGATATTATTGTTGGATCTGATTTTAATAGCTAACATTTCGATGGCCATAATAAATATAAATGCCGATAGTGGACAACCTTGTTTTACTCCTCTTGACAGTTTACAACTTACTAAAGAAGAGGAAAGTGGAAGGGGGAAAAAGTAAGAAACTTGTCTGTCGGCCTTGCATTAAAGACCATAATTGGTTAAAGAAAACTGTGATAAATAAAAAAGTATACCAGTTTCATTTAAGGACCAAAAGATTGACAGCTGTCCCATATAGATTGCAAAATAGTTGGGAAGAGATTTTTGACGTACCGATTCCATGGCATAGTGTTTATGAACTGATACGCAAATCGACGCCGGATTAAAAACTTAGCATTTTTCCATTTAAATTATTATACAAAATTCTTGCTACCAATAGAATGTTATTGATATTGGGGATACAATCTTCCCAGCTCTGCAGATTTTGCTGCGAAGAGACAGAATCATTAGATCATTTGTTTTGGTACTGGCCATTTGCATGAAAACATGTATGCACTCACTAACTGTAAGTTGCTCTGGATAAGAGCGTCTGCTAAATAACTAAAATGTAAAATGTAGCTTGTTTTTGGACACAGGTCCAGGAATGGCTGAAGGATTGCAATATTTACCTGGAGCTAACCCTGCAGATAGCACTACTGGGTGATCTGAAAAGTCATAGTCAATCGATCAATAATATAATAATACTTTTAGCAAAAAAAATTATTTTCAATTTACAATCTGTGGAAACAATGAGAATAGAAGGGTTCAGAACATTTGTAAAACATCACAGTACAGTTCAAAAATATATGGCAAATAGAAATCCAATATAGATGGTGTTAAGAGATGCAGTGGGGAGAACAAGTATTTGATACACTGCCGATTTTGCAGGTTTTCCTACTTACAAAGCATGTAGAGGCCTGTAATTTTTATCATAGGTACACTTCAACTGTGAGAGACAGAATCTAAAACAAAAATCCAGAAAATCACATTGTATGATTTTTAAGTAATTAATTTGCATTTTATTGCATGACATAAGTATTTGATCACCTACCAACCAGTAAGAATTCCGGCTCTCACAGACCTGTTAGTTTTTCTTTAAGAAGCCCTCCTGTTCTCCACTCATTACCTGTATTAACTGCACCTGTTTGAACTCGTTACCTGTATAAAAGACACCTGTCCACACACTCAATCAAACAGACTCCAACCTCTCCACAATGGCCAAGACCAGAGAGCTGTGTAAGGACATCAGGGATAAAATTGTAGACCTGCACAAGGCTGGGATGGGCTACAGGACAATAGGCAAGCAGCTTGGTGAGAAGGCAACAACTGTTGGCGCAATTATTAGAAAATGGAAGAAGTTCAAGATGACGGTCAATCAACCTCGGTCTGGGGCTCCATGCAATATCTCACCCCGTGGGGCATCAATGATCATGAGGAAGGTGAGGGATCAGCCCAGAACTACACGGCAGGACCTGGTCAATGACCTGAAGAGAGCTGGGACCACAGTCTCAAAGAAAACCATTAGTAACACACTACGCCATCATTGATTAAAATCCTGCAGCGCACGCAAGGTCCCCCTGCTCAAGCCAGCGCATGTCCAGGCCCGTCTGAAGTTTGCCAATGACCATCTGGATGATCCAGAGGAGGAATGGGAGAAGGTCATGTGGTCTGATGAGACAAAAATAGAGCTTTTTGGTCTAAACTCCACTCGCCGTGTTTGGAGAAGAAGAAGGATGAGTACAACCCCAAGAACACCATCCAAACCGTGAAGCATGGAGGTGGAAACATCATTCTTTGGGGATGCTTTTCTGCAAAGGGGACAGGACGACTGCACCGTATTGAGGGGAGGATGGATGGGGCCATGTATCGCGAGATCTTGGCCAACAACCTCCTTCCCTCAGTAAGAGCATTGAAGATGGGTCGTGGCTGGGTCTTCCAGCATGACAACGACCCGAAACACACAGCCAGGGCAACTAAGGAGTGGCTCCGTAAGAAGCATCTCAAGGTCCTGGAGTGGCCTAGCCAGTCTCCAGACCTGAACCCAATAGAACATCTTTGGAGGGAGCTGAAAGTCCGTATTTCCCAGCGACAGCCCCGAAACCTGAAGGATCTGGAGAATGTCTGTATGGAGGAGTGGGCCAAAATCCCTGCTGCAGTGTGTGCAAACCTGGTCAAGACCTACAGGAAACGTATGATCTCTGTAATTGCAAACAAAGGTTTCTGTACCAAATATTAAGTTCTGCTTTTCTGATGTATCAAATACTTATGTCAAGCAATAAAATGCAAATTAATTACTTAAAAATCATACAATGTGATTTTCTGGATTTTTGTTTTAGATTCCGTCTCTCACAGTTGAAGTGTACCTATGATAAAAATGACAGACCTCTACATGCTTTGTAAGTAGGAAAACCTGCAACATCGGCAGTGTATCAAATTCTCCCCACTGTATGTTCATTTTTGGTGCACCAAAGACATGACTTACCCAATGGACTACTAGAAAATGTTTATATCCAAATTGCTGGCTCAATAACTTCTTCCTTAAGATAATTGTGTTGGGGCTCAATAACTTCTTCCTTAAGATAATTGTGTTGGAGGTTGTTAGTAGAAAGAACACACACTGGAAAGCCAACCATGAGACGTGGAGGGGGAGAGATGGACAAGGAAATGGAGGAGGAGAGGACCTGCGAGGCTAGAGTAGTCTTCTTTACTAACAGCTGTATAGGAATCACTGACGCTTCCCTTCACCTCACCCAGCGGGCACAGCTGCCAGTGTGTCCACACAGTTGGCGCATACACACACACACACACACACACACACACACCATCTCCTCTGAAATAAATATGTCTTCATTCAAGGCTTCAATTCAGTATCAAAAACCAAATGCTACTCAGAATAAGGTTTAAGAGACGTAACTTTATTTACAGTAGAACATCCCATAATAAGAAGCTTCTCGTTTGATGGAGACTACAATGAACTCTCTGCATATACACGTGTCAATTATAGCTGAGGAGATTGAAACGTTTACATGACATTTACATCATTTAGCAGACGCTCTTATCCGCATGGGATGTTCCCAGTTCTGGGTCAAACGTGTGCAATGGCTTTTTCAACAGAATTATTTAGAGACGTACTCTTAAATCAACATAATCTTTGTTTCATATATATATATATATATATATATATATATATATATATATATATATATATATATATATATATATATATATAGTTAACCCCCCCTTTCACCTTACAGAAGATATCTATAACCTTAAACATAAACAAAATACCTTAAGAAAAGAGATGGCAGACCTAAACATGGACAAAAAAGATGCAATTCCATTTATGGCCCAAGTCATCTCTAATTATCCCAGCATGGCACCAAAGAAGAAGAAAACAAAAGAAAACAAAGCATCACAACAAGGCTTAGTCTGGAGTAATGTCACAACAAGGCTTAGTCTGGAGTAACGTCGCAACAAGGCTTAGTCTGGAGTAATGTCACAACAAGGCTTAGTCTGGAGTAACGTCGCAACAAGGCTTAGTCTGGAGTAATGTCACAACAAGGCTTAGTCTGGAGTAATGTCACAACAAGGCTTAGTCTGGAGTAACGTTACAACAAGGCTTAGTCTGGAGTAACGTTACAACAAGGTTTAGTCTGGGGTAACGACAGGATCTATACGGGGAAAAATTGACCAAAAAGAACTGTTTGGCTTACGAATTCAGACCATGAGGTGGGTTAGAAAAGTGTGACATGTTTCTTCTGGTTTGTAAGTGCAATGTTTTGAACTGCTTTCTCCTAGATGTAAGAGCAGGAGTTCTCCCACCCAGGTTATTTTTGCGAACTACTGGGTGGTGCAGGCTCTTGCTCCAGCCCATCACTAATGCACCTGATTCTACTAAGCAACTAATCAGGGCCGTGACAGTCTGAATTATCTGGTGTGTCAGTAAAGGGCAGGAGGGAGACCCAGCACCACCACAAGCTCTCCAGGACCCCCTAGTGTAGAGGATGAGATGTGTGTGTGTGTGTGTGTGTGTGTGTGTGTGTGTGTGTCTGTCTCCTTCAGTAAATGAACTCCCCAGGAACCTCTTGGAGGGCGCTGAAGGGCTCCTCGAACTTGAAGCGTTTGGAGATGGCCTTCTGGTCGGGGTTCATGACCTCCTTGTCTGTTGACTGGCGGCAGTGGCCCAGTGCGTACGCCGCCACCACGATCAGCTCCTCCGTTTCGGGGCCTTCCTCCTCCTCCCCCCTGATGGGGCTCTCGGGGCTGGCTGGGTCAGAGGTGCACTTGGTGGGGCTGATAGTCCCTTTCACCTCTACTGTCGCCTCTGCTTCCCTTTTCTCTTTTGCCTGGAGCCACTGGTGCTGCAGGCATTCTTCTGCCGTGGCGCGGTTACTGTTGGGAGAAAGGAGAATGCCAGGGAATCAATGGGAACTTCAACCCCCCATATCCACCTTCTCCGATGGCTTGGTGGGTTTGAGCGAGCATGGCACTTTCAACACCAAGGCTGTGGATTTGATTGCCCAAGGGGCCTATTCTACTGTTTATAGAATACATGTTTGTGGCCTGGGGTGGTCTGGCGGTCTAATCTGGCCCACTGCTCTTTCAGTACTCTCTCTCCTACCATTCACCTCTACACAAAAAACACACACACATATACATACATATTATATATATATATATACCCTTTTGCAATTATGTTAGCACAGCTGAAAACTGTTGTGCTGATTAAAGAAGCAATAAAACTGGCCTTCTTGAGACTAGTTGAGTATCTGGAGCATCAGCAATTGTGGGTTCGATTACAGGCTCAAAATGGCCAGAAACAAATAGCTTTCTTCTGAAACTCATCAGTCTATTCTTGTTCTGAGAAATGAAGGCTATTCCATGCGAGAAATTGCCTACTCCCTTCACAGAACAGCGCAAACTGGCTCTAACCAGAATAGAAAGAGGAGTGGGAGGCCCCGGTGCACAACTGAGCAAGAGGACAAATACATGAGTGTCTAGTTTGAGAAACAAGACGCCTCACAGGTCCTCAACTGGCAGCTTCAAGAGGCGACTCCAGGATGCTGACCTTCTAGGCAGAGTTGTAAAGAAAAAGCCATATCTCCGATTGGCCAATAAAACTAAAATATTAATATGAGCAAAAGAACACAGACACTGGACAGAGGAAGATTGGAAAAAAGTGTTATGGACAGTCGAATCGAAGTTTGAGGTGTTCGGATCACAAAGAAGAACATTTGTGAGACGCAGACCAAATGAAAAGATGCTGGAGGAGTGCTTGATGCCATCTGTCAAGCATGGTGGAGGCAATGTGATGGTCAGGTGGTGCTTTGGTGGTGGTAAAATAGGAGATTTGTACAGGGTAAAAGGGATCTTGAAGAAGGAAGGCTATCACTCCACTTTATAACGCCATGCCATACCCTGTGGAAGGCACTTGATTGGAGCCAATTTCTTCCTACAACAGGACAATGACCCAAAGCACAGCTCCAAACTACGCAATAACTATTTAGGGAAGAAGCAGTCAGCTGGTATTCTGTCTATAATGTAGTGGCCAGCACAGTCACCGGATCTCAACCCTATTGAGCTGTTGTGGGAGCAGCTTGACCGTATGGTACGTAAGAAGTGTCCATCAAGCCAATCCAACTTGTGGGAGGTGCTTAAGGAAGCATGGAGTGAAATCTCTTCAGATTACCTCAACAAATTGACAACTAGAATGCCAAAGGTCTGCAAGGCTGTAATTGCTGCAAATGGAGGATTCTTTGATGAAAGCAAAGTTTGAAGGACACATTATTATTTCAATTAAAAATCATTATTTCTACATTTCCTATTCATTTTGCTATATTTCCTATTCAAACTATTTGATGGAAAACAAGGACATTTCTAAGTGACCCCACATATACATAAATATATATACACACATACACTGCTCAAAAAAATTAAGGGAACACTTAAACAACACAATGTAACTCCTATTCTCCCTATACACCAAGTCACTTGGCTCTGTCATATCCTCACATGGCCTCTCCTATCATTGCTACGCTGACGATACACAACTAATCTTCTCCTTTCCCCCTTCTGATAACCAGGTGGCGAATCGCATCTCTGCATGTCTGGCAGACATATCAGTATGGATGACGGATCACCACCTCAAGCTGAACCTTGGCAAGACGGAGCTGCTCTTCCTCCCGGGAAAGGACTGCCCGTTCCATGATCTCGCCATCACGGTTGACAACTCCGTTGTGTCCTCCTCCCAGAGTGCGAAGAGCCTTGGCGTGACCCTGGACATCACCCTGTCGTTCTCCGCTAACATCAAGGCGGTGACCCGATCCTGCAGGTTCATGCTCTACAACATTCGGAGAGTACGACCCTGCCTTACACAGGAAGCGGCACAGGTCCTAATCCAGGCACTTGTCATCTCCCGTCTGGATTACTGCAACTCGCTGTTGGCTGGGCTCCCTGCCTGTGCCATTAAACCCCTACAACTCATCCAGAATGCCGCAGCCCGTCTGGTGTTCAATCTTCCCAAGTTCTCTCACGTCACCCCGCTCCTCCGCACACTCCACTGGCTTCCAGTTGAAGCTCGCATCTGTTACAAGGCCATGGTGCTTGCCTATGGAGCTGTGAGGGGAACGGCACCTCCGTACCTTCAGGCTCTGATCAGTCCCTACACCCAAACGAGGGCATTGCGTTCACCCACCTCTGGCCTGCTGGCTCCCCTTCCTCTGCGGAAGCATAGATCCCGCTCAGCCCAGTCAAAACTGTTCGCTGCTCTGGCACCCCAATGGTGGAACAAGCTCCCTCACGACGCCAGGACAGCGGAGTCACTCACCACCTTCCGGAGACATTTGAAACCCCACCTCTTTAAGGAATACCTGGGATAGGATAAAGTAATCCTTCTACCCCCCCCCCCCCCCTTAAAAATAATAAAAAATAAAAAATTGTGAAGTGGTTATCCCACTGGCTATAGGGTGAATGCACCAATTTGTAAGTCGCTCTGGATAAGAGCGTCTGCTAAATGACGTAAATGTAAATGTAAATGTAACTCCAAGTCAATCACACTTCTGTGAAATCAAACTGTCCACTTAGGAAGCAACACTGATTGACAATAAATGTCACATGCTGTTGTGCAAATGGAATAGACAACAGGTGGAAATTATAGGCAATTAGCAAGACACCCCCAATAAAGAAGTGGTTCTGCAGGTGGTGACCACAGACCACTTCTCAGTTCCTATGCTTCCTGGCTGATGTTTTGGTCACTTTTGAATGCTGGCGGTGGTTTCACTCTAGTGGTAGCATGAGACGGAGTCTACAACCCACACAAGTGGCTCAGGAAGTGCAGCTCATCCATGATGGCACATCAATGCGAGCTGTGGCAAGAAGGTTTGCTGTGTCTGTCAGCGTAGTGTCCAGAGCATGGAGGCGCTACCAGGAGACAGGCCAGTACATCAGGAGACGTGGAGGAGACCGTAGGAGGGCAACAACCCAGCAGCAGGACCGCTACCTCCGCCTTTGTGCAAGGAGGAGCAGGAGGAGCACTGCCAGAGCCCTGCAAAATGACCTCCAGCAGGCCACAAATGTGCATGTGTCTGCTCAAACGGTCAGAAACAGACTCCATGAGGGTGGTATGAGGGCCCGACGTCCACAGGTGGGGGTTGTGCTTACAGCCCAACACCGTGCAGGACGTTTGGCATTTGCCAGAGAACACCAAGTTTGGCAAATTCGCCACTGGTGCCCTGTGCTCTTCACAGATGAAAGCAGGTTCACACTGAGCACATGTGACAGACGTGACAGAGTCTGGAGACGCCGTGGAGAACGTTCTGCTGCCTGCAACATCCTCCAGCATGACCGGTTTGGCGGTGGGTCAGTCATGGTGTGGGGTGGCATTTCTTTGGGGGGCCGCACAGCCCTCCATGTGCTCGCCAGAGGTACCTAAATGTAAATGTAGGTAGCCTGACTGCCATTAGGTACCGAGATGAGATCCTCAGACCCCTTGTGAGACCATATGCTGGTGCGGTTGGCCCTGGGTTCCTCCTAATGCAAGAATTTTGTGATTCTTCAAAGTAGCCACCCTTTGCCTTGATGACAGCTTATCACACTCTTGGCATTCTCTCAACCAGCTTCATGAGGTAGTCACCTGGAATGCATTACAATTAACAGGTGTGCCTTGTTAAAAGTTATTTTGTGGAATTTCTTTCCTTCTTAATGCGTTTGAGCCAATCAGTTGTGTTGTGACAAGGTAGGGGTTGGTATACAGAAGATAGCCCTATTTGGTAAAAGTCCATATTATGGCAAGAACAGCTCAAATAAGCAAAGAGAAACAACAGTCCATCATTACTTTAAGACATGAAGGTCAGTCAATCTGGAAAATTTCAAGAACTTCGAGTTTCTTCAAGTGCAGTCGCGAAAACCATCAAGCGCTATGATGAAACTGCGTCTCATGAGGACCGCCACAGGAAAGGAAGACCCAGAGTTACCTCTGCTAAAGAGGATAAGTTCATTAGAGTTAACTGCACCTCAGATTGCAGCCCAAATAAATGCTTCACAGAGTTCAAGTAACAGACACATCTCAACATCAACTGTTCAGAGGAGACTGCGTGAATCAGGCCTTCATGGTCAAATTGCTGCAAAGAAACCACTACTAAAGGACACCAATAATAAGAAGAGACTTGCTTTGGCCAAGAAACACGAGCAATGGATATTAGACCGGTGGAAATCGGTCCTTTGGTCTGATGAGTCAAAATGTGAGATTTTTGGTTCCCACCGTGAAGCATGGAGGAGGAGGTGTGATGGTGCTTTGCTGGTGACACTGTCTGTGATTTATTTAGAATTCAAGGCACACTTAACCAGCATGGCTACCACAGCGATACGCCATCCCATCTGGTTTGCGCTTAGTGGGACTATAATTTCTTTTCAACAGGACAATGACCCAAAACACACCTCCAGGCTGTGTAAGGACTATTTGACCAAGAAGGAGAGTGATGGAGTGCTGCATCAGATGACCTGGCCTCCACAATCACGCGACCTCAACCCAATTGAGATGGTTTGGGATGAGTTGGACCGCAGAGTGAAGGAAAAGCAGCCAACAAGTGCTCAGCATATGTGTGAACTCCTTCAAGACTGTTGGAAAAGCATTCCAGGTGAAGCTGGTTGAGAAAATGCCAAGAGTGTGCAAAGCTGTCATCAAGGCAAAGGGTGGCTACTTTGAAGAAAATAAAATATGGAATATTTGTTTAACACTTTTTTGGTTACTACATGATTCCATATGTGTTATTTCATAGTTTTGATGTCTTTACTATTATTCTACAATGTAGAAAATAGTAAAAATAAAGAAAAACCCTGGAATGAGTAGGTGTGTCCAAACTTTTGACTGGTACTGTACATAAGATTAATATTGTGTTTAAACCCCTAGAGTCTATTGACGCACCGGTGCGTGAATCTAAGTAACATAATACGAAAATCCCCATCAAAATCTGTCCGTTTAAGTTGGAGATACATTTTTTTTGTATGGGCTGTGTCTCAATCTACCACATCCACCTGTGTCGCCCTTCCGCATCTGTAGTGGAAAGTGGCAGAGCTACAGTGCTGTTTGTCAGACCAGGAGACATCCCGAAAATCAGTTTCTCACGAAAACGTCTGTAGAATCCGAACGATTTGGCCTACAAAACTAATATGACCACGAGACTCTCATAAACACAATGGTGATCTCCGTTTTACTCTACGTGACTTGTCTAAAGGTACACATGAATGGAGGTAGCTTTGTGTTAACAAAAATAAGGCGTTAAATGTGTTAAAAAACAATAATATTTCCTAGATATAGGACAGACACTTAAAAACATATTCCTTGTGATTTCTTTTTTGACTGTCTTTTTTGCCATTCATGAATGTGTTATTCAATTCGTTTCTATGGGCTATAGTAGTAAAGGCCAAATAATAAAAAATAAAAAATGTATACCTAAAATTCAGAACTTAAAGTCAAATAGCTAAATGATCCATGGTATGACCTTCTTAAAACAATTCCACATGTCAGCTTAGAACCCCCACCCCCCAATGACCACATTACTCACTGGGGTTCTTTGATGAGCAGGACCTTGATGAAGGCGATGGCGGCCTGGTCTAGATGCTCCAGCTCCTCCTCCTGGTAACTGACGTTGATCTGGGAGATGTTGAGGAAGGTCTCCTGCTTGTCCTCCCCCAGGAAGGGAGAGGTACCCGTCAGCATCACGTAGGTCAGCACCCCAATACTCCTGTCAGACACATACAGTGACAAAACAGTTGGACAAATATATACACTACATGATCATCATGGGCATTAATATGGAGTTGTTCCCCCCCTTTGCTGCTATTACAGCCTCTATTCTTCTGGAAAGGCTTTCCACTAGATGTTGGAACATTGCTGCGGGGACTTGCTTCCATTCAGCCACAAGAGCATTAGTGAGGTTGGACACTGATGTCGGGCGATTAGGCCAGGTTCGCAGTCTGCGTTCCAATTAATCCCAAAGTTGTTAGATGGGGTTGAGGTCAGGGCTCTGTGCAGGCCAGTCAAGTTCTTCCACACCAATCTCAACAATCCATTTCTGTATGAAACAGGAAAGGGCCTTCCCCAAACTGTTGCCTTAAAGTTGGAAGCACAGAATCGTCTAGAATGTCATTGTATGCTGTAGGGTTAAAATGTCTCTTCACTGGACTAAGCGGCCTAACCCGAACCATGAAAAACAGCCCCAGACCATTATTCCTCCTCCACCAAACTTTACAGTTGGCACTATTCATTGGGGGAGGTAGCGTTCTCCTGGCATCCACCAAACCCAGATTCGTCCGTCGGACCGCCAGATGGTGAAGCGTGATTATCACTCCAGAGAACACGTTTCCACTGCTCCAGAGTCCAATGGCAGCGAGCTTTACACCACTCCAGCCGACACTTGAGATTGCGGATGGTGATCTTAGGCTTGTGTGCGACTGCTCGGCCATGGAAACCCATTTCATGAAGCTCCCGACAAACAGTTATTGTGCTGACCTTGCTTCCAGAGGCAGTTTGGAACTCGGTAGTGAGTGTTGCAACCGAGGACAGACAATTTTTACGCGCTACGCGCTTCAGCACTCTGCGGTCCTGTTCTGTGAGCTTGTGTGGCCTACCACTTTGCGGCTGAGCCGTTGTTGCTCCTAGAGATTTCCACTTCACAATAACAGCACTTACAGTTGACAGGGGCAGCTCTAGCAGGGAATACATTTTACAAACTGACTTGCTGGAAAGGTGGCATCCTATGACGGTGCCACGTTGAGAGTCACTGAGCTCTTCAGAAAGACCATTCTACTGCCAATGTTCATCTATGAAGATTGCATGGCTGTGTGCTCGATTTTATACACCTGTCAGCAACGGGTGTGGCTGAAATAGCCAAATCCACTAATTTGAAGGGGTGTCCACATACTGCTGTATATATAGTGTATATACAGCCACAGGAAATGAGCTGAAGCTTTTCCCTCTGAGATAAACTCATAATTTAGGGAATGATGCTGTTTTCCTACATGTGTGAAGTTTTCCCTTGTATCTCTCTCGCTCTCTCAAAGAAGCTATTGGATAAAACAAATCACAACACATACAACATACTGTTGGTTCTCAAACCTCCCCTCGGGCACCCAGAGACGTTTCACAGTTTTAATGTAGCCCTGAACTAGCTCACCTGATTGACCTAGTGAAGGGCTTGATGATTAGTTGACTATTTGAATCAGGTGTGCTATCTCTGGAATAGATCAAGTACATGGAATGGCGGAGGGTCCCGAGGAGAGGTTTAAGAACCACTGCAATAAGATACACTGAAATGTCACTCACCACATATCTGTCGCAGTGCTAATCGGTTCGTAATTCAGGATTTCTGGAGCTGCAAAAGAAAAAAAACGACTTATTCACTTTGGGGGTGAACTACCCCATTGAAGACTTTTGACATGCTGAGTGGAGTGACCATGACGGTCATAACAACATGGCTGCCGGTCAGGACAGGGGTTGTGTTGTTTGCTGCTCTACTCACCCACATACTCCGGGGTCCCCATGATCTCTCTGAGCTCCTGACTGCTGCTCACCATCCTGGACAGACCAAAGTCCACGATCTTGATGTCCCCCAGAGGAGCATCGGAGGTCAGCAGAATGTTCTGGGGCTGGAGAGAAGAGCAGCGTGACAGCCGCATTAGAGAGGAGGTCTAGTGGGGCTAACTTGACAGCAGCATTAGAGAGGAGGTCTAGTGGGGCTAACTTGACAGCAGCATTAGAGAGGAGGTCTAGTGGGGCTAACTTGACAGCAGCATTAGAGAGGAGGTCTAGTGGGGCTAACTTGACAGCAGCATTAGAGAGGAGGTCTAGTGGGGCTAACTTGACAGCAGCATTAGAGAGGAGGTCTAGTGGGGCTAACTTGCATATACGTAAACCACGGTATAAAAGCTTGCTTCCATCTTTAAAGCGATATTTTGGCAATCAAGCCCTTTCGCTAGTTAGCAATGGCTCCAGAAACTACCTTCAACTTCCTTTAAACTGCACGCAGAGACAAAACAATGGTATCCATGAGTTTATCTGACTTAATTGCTAAAATGTGGACTATGTGATAAAAGTGATACAAAGTAAAACACAGCGGTGGACAAACTACGGATCCGGCCGGCAGGAGGTTGATTATTATTTTAGGTAAAAAAAACACTCCAGGCCTCTTGAACATCTAAAACTAGATAGAAAGTACAATATATATGTTCAGATAACTGGCCTGTTTCTGGCCCGCAAATTGCTTTTGACAAACAAATTGGTCAACCCCAAAGAAAATCTGTGTGTCCATCCCCGATGTGGCCCTCGAGCCAAAATGTTTTCCCACCCCTGGTCTAACATACATATAAGAAGTGAATGTTGATAAAAGGTTGGACCCCAGGAAGATCAGCTGCTGCTTTCGCAACAGCTAATGGGGATCCTAATAAAATACCATAAAGTGTCTAACAGGGGTCGGGGACTGACCTTGATGTCCAGGTGCACCACGTTGTTCCTGTGGAGGAAGGAGACTCCCTCTAGGATCTGTCTTAACAGCCTCTTCACGTCCTCCTCTTTGAAGGCCTCGTCCCTCTCCGCTACACACTGGTTAAAGATCTCCCCTCCGGCTGCACTGTGGACACACATACAGACTGGTTAAAGATCTCCCCTCCGGCTGCACTGTGGACACACATACAGACTGGTTAAAGATCTCCCCTCCGGCCACACTGTGGACACACATACAGACTGGTTAAAGATCTCCCCTCTGGCCGCACTGTGGACACACATACAGACTGGTTAAAGATCTCCCCTCCGGCTGCACTGTGGACACACATACAGACTGGTTAAAGATCTCCCCTCCGGCTGCACTGTGGACACACATACAGACTGGTTAAAAGATCTCCCCTCCGGCCGACATGCAAACAATAACATCAAGTAGTATTTTACAAGCTGCTTTGCTTTTCTGATTTGGTAGGTCTGCTATCTGCTGGTGTGCATTGGAAGAGTACCAAACACATCTCTGCATTGAAGTCACACAGACCACAAGTACCAACACACATCTTACATGTACAAACAGTCAAACCTTTAATTTTGCATTTCACTACTCTGTCTTGACCTAGACCAGTGGTTTGCTGTGTTCTGTGGGAGTCTTGGATAACCTGTCCTGATTGATGACTGTGTGATGACTGTGTTTCTCCTGTCTGGTCTGTCTGGTGGTTAGGGCTAGGGTTAATGCTGTCTTCCAGCTAGTGTAGCCGATGTGAAATGGCTAGCTAGTTAGCAGTGCGTGCTAGTAGCGCTTCGATCAGTGACGTCACTCACTCTGAGACCTTGAAGTAGTTGTTTCCCTTGCTCTGCAAGGGCCGTGGCTTCTGTGGAGCGATAGGTAGCGATGCTTCGTGGGAGGCCTTTGCTGATGTGTTCAAACCCGGACGACGCTGGGCCAATTGTGCGCCGCCCTATGGGACTCCCAATCACGGCCGGTTGTGATACAGCCTGGAATCGAACCAGGGTCTGTGGTGACGCCTCAAGCACTGAGATGCAGTGCCTTAGACCGCTGCGCCACTCGGGAGCCCAGGGTGGGGCAAGGAGAGGGACGGAAGCATTACTGTTACACTAGGTCTGGACTGTAGCTTTAGCTTTACAATGATGTATGATATATGGCCACTGTTAATGAGGGACATTTGTAGGCAGCCAAATACAGTGATGAGTCCTGCTTGTTCACCCGACAACGTCATGGCATTTGGAGGTGCTGTGTGTGCCTGTTCCCAAACTTCTGGTGGGACATCCGGTGGGATGCAAAACTGACTTTGAACCTAAGTCCATTCCAGTATTCCCCAATGGGAGACCAGCAATAGACAGCAGATTCCCCAATGGGAGACCAGCAATAGACAGCAGTATTCCCCAATGGGAGACCAGCAATAGACAGCAGATTCCCCAATGGGAGACCGGCAATAGACAGCAGATTCCCCAATGGGAGACCAGCAATAGACAGCAGTATTCCCCAATGGGAGACCAGCAATAGACAGCAGTATTCCCCAATGGGACACCGGCAATAGACAGCAGATTCCCCAATGGGAGACCAGCAATAGACAGCAGTATTCCCCAATGGGAGACCAGCAATAGACAGCAGTATTCCCCAATGGGAGACCAGCAATAGACAGCAGATTCCCCAATGGGAGACCAGCAAAAGACAGCAGTATTCCCCAATGGGAGACTGGCAATAGACAGCAGTATCCCCCAATGGGAGACCGGCAATAGACAGCAGTATCCCCCATGGGAGACCAGCAATAGACAGAAGATTCCCCAATGGGAGACCAGCAAAAGACAGCAGATTCCCCAATGGGAGACCAGCAATAGACAGCATATTCCCCAATGGGAGACCAGCAAAAGAGAGCAGATTCCCCAATGGGAGACTGGCAATAGACGGCCACTGCAAGTGAAGAGTGTGTGGAAGGCTCCATCTCACTAGAGGGATTGGAAGGCTCCATCTCACTAGAGGGATTGGAAGGCTCCATCTCACTAGAGGGACTGGAAGGCTCCATCTCACTAGAGGGATTGGAAGGCTCCGTCTCACTAGAGGGATTGGAAGGCTCCATCTCACTAGAGGGATTGGAAGGCTCCATCTCACTAGAGGGACTGGAAGGCTCCATCTCACTAGAGGGATTGGAAGGCTCCGTCTCACTAGAGGGATTGGAAGGCTCCATCTCACTAGAGGGATTGGAAGGCTCCGTCTCACTAGAGGGATTGGAAGGCTCCGTCTCACTAGAGGGATTGGAAGGCTCCATCTCACTAGAGGGATTGGAAGGATCCATCTCACTAGAGGGATTGGAAGGCTCCGTCTCACTAGAGGGATTGGAAGGCTCCGTCTCACTAGAGGGATTGGAAGGCTCCATCTCACTAGAGGGATTGGAAGGCTCCATCTCACTAGAGGGAATGGAAGGCTCCATCTCACTAGAGGGATTGGAAGGCTCCATCTCACTAGAGGGATTGGAAGGCTCCATCTCACTAGAGGGATCGGAAGGCTCCATCTCACTAGAGGGATTGGAAGGCTCCGTCTCACTAGAGGGATTGGAAGGCTCCGTCTCACTAGAGGGATTGGAAGGCTCCATCTCACTTGAGGGATTGGAAGGCTCCATCTCACTAGAGGGATTGGAAGGCTCCATCTCACTAGAGGGATTGGAAGGCTCCATCTCACTAGAGGGATTGGAAGGCTCCGTCTCACTAGAGGGATTGGAAGGCTCCATCTCACTAGAGGGATTGGAAGGCTCCGTCTCACTAGAGGGATTGGAAGGCTCCATCTCACTAGAGGGATTGGAAGGCTCCATCTCACTAGAGGGATCGGAAGGCTCCATCTCACTAGAGGGATTGGAAGGATCCGTCTCACTAGAGGGATTGGAAGAAATAGAGCTGGAGCTCTAAATATAGCACATTAATTATGGACAGTACACTACAATACCACAATTGACACGGGTTGATTCACCACATGATCACACATGTGATTTGTGAATAATATTATGAATATTTTACAGCACAGTAAAGTATCCAAGTTAGTGAATATGACATTTCAGTAAACATAACATAAATGGCATGGAACGGAAAGGATTTGCCTTTTAAAATCACTGGCGGTTCTAAGTGACAACACTATTTTACAATCGTATTTCGTGGGGGTAATTACAAAGAATGTTGTCTTATAAATGTACTACTTCCTAGTACTTAGCACTGCTTCAATTAATCCCAACTAATCTAAAAAGGTCATTATTAGGTAACCATTGCGTACATCAGATCATGTTGCTGAGTAAATACCAGGCAAGCAACAGACTGTAAAGCCAATTCTAATTGAATGTGAACATTGAGACCATGAGTCTTGCGTTGTTCTCTCTCCTAGTCCTAACTGGAGCTCCTTCATAGACTTGGTGATGTGAGGAACTAGCAGGAAACGCCAACACCTCCGTGTGCCCCTTTCTACACAAAACTTTACGTGAGACGTGAAACTAACTTAAATATCCTCCTGACCTGCAGTGACTGCAACTCCAATTAGGTTGGAAAGCGAGACACGAGAGAGAGAGAGAGAGAAAGAGAGAGAGAGAGAGAGAGTGTTGAAAGAGTGAGGTTTGTCAAAAATAGACAAGGGTTCCCATTAGACCGAGTTGAATTGGGTCCTGTCTGGGTATGGAGGCAGGTCTTTCCCCTATAGAGCACAGTTTTTATGGAATGGTCTGCCGATCCATCTGAGAGACGCAGACTCAGACTAATATCTTCAGTAGGTCCTATGATTGAGTTTAGTCTGGCCCAGGGGTGCGAAGGTGAACCGCAAGGCACTGGAGTGACGAACTACCCTTGTTGTCTCTGCCTGACCGGCTCCCCTCTCTCCACTGAGATTCTCTGCCTCTGACCCTACTACGGGGGCTGAGTCACTGCCGTGGTGTGTAGTGGTGGGTGTGGTGTAGTGTGGGGTAGCGTAGTGTAGTGTAGTGTAGTGTAGTGTGGTGTGGGGTAGTGTAATGTAGTGTAGTGTGGTGTGGTGTAGTGTAATGTAGTGTAGTGTGGTGTGGTGTGGTGTGGTGTAGTGTAATGTAGTGTAGTGTAGTGTGGTGTGATGTGGGGTGGTGTAGTGTAGTGTGGGGTAGTGTGGTGTAGTGTGGTGTGATGTGGGGTGGTGTAGTGTAGTGTGGGGTAGTGTAATGTAGTGTGGTGTGATGTGGTGTGATGTGGTGTGATGTGGGGTGGTGTAGTCAACGAGGACTATCAGGAAGCTGTGAGCTAGAAGAGGAAATTAGTTATCCCAGCCATGAAAGCTGCCAGAGCGCGTGGGGACCCTCCCTCCCAAAAGCCTATTGGTTCGTAGCTTCAACCCCGCAGCAAAATGCACACATTTACACACACCACCTGATTAATGGACTGCTGCTAGTGTTATGTGGTGTAGTGTGGTGTAGTGTGGTGTAGTGTGGTGTAGTGTGATGTGGGGTGATGTGGGGTGGTGTGGGGTGGTGTGGTGTAGTGTGGTGTGGGGTAGTGTAGTCTGTTCATCTTTCCCTCTATCCTGACTAGTCTCCCAGTCCCTGCCGCTGAAAAACATCCCCACAGCATGACCAGAGAATATTGTTTCTCATGGTCTGAGAGTCTTTAGGTGCCTTTTGGCAAACTCCAAGTGGGCTGTCATGTGCCTTTTACTGAGGAGTGGCTTCCGTCTGGCCACTTAACCATAAAGGCCTGATTGGTGGAGTGCTGCAGAGATGGTTGTCCTTCTGGAAGGTTCTCCCATCTCCACAGAGGAACTCAAGAGCTTTGTCAGAGTGACCATCAGGTTCTTGGTCACCTCCCTGACCAAGGTCCTTCTCCCCTGATTGCTCAGTTTGGCCGGGCGGCCAGCTCTAGGAAGTTCCAAACTTCTTCCATTTAAGAATGATTGAGGCAACTGTGTTGTTGGGGACCTTCAATGCTGCAGATCTGTGCCACGACACAATCCTGTGTTGGAGCTCTACAGACAATTCCTTCGACCTCATGGCTTGGTTCTTGCTCTGACATGCACTGTCAACTGTGGAACCTTATATAGACACGTGTGTACCATTCCAAATCATGTCCAATCAATTGCATTTACCACAGGTGGACTCCAATCAAGTTCTAGAAAC